AAATAGAAGGCTGTGCAATGGGAGCACCAATTTTTCATCAACAATAGCACAATTAGTTATGGAATTTTTAGAAGAAGTAATTAATAATCTAAATTTTGATATATTATTTTTCAAAAGATATGTTGATGATTGCATTATCGCACTTCCTGAAAATAAAATTAATGATATTTTAAATGAGTTTAACAATTTTCATCTAAAATTACAATTTACTATCGAAATTGAAAATAAAAACAAAATTAATTTTCTTGATTTAACTTTAATTCGTAAAAATAATCAAATTTTAACTAAATGGTTTACAAAATTCACATCTTCAGGTAGATATTTAAATTTTAATTCTCACCACCCGATAACATACAAAAAAAGTGTAGTTATTGGTTTAATCAATAGAGCGATACATTTAACAAGTCCCATTTATCGACCTAAAATTATAAATAAAATAAAAAATATTTTACTAGATAATAATTATCTTGCTAAATTGTATAACAAAATTATTAAACAAAGAATCTTTAACTTCTATAATACATCAAAAAATAAAAAAACAATAAATTCTGATCATAACTCTTGTCAACTGTCAATATGTAGCATTACCATATGTACAATCTTTATCTGAAAAAATTAAATCCATTTTATTTAAATACATTTTAGTTGCTCATAAATCGTTTAATCAATTAAAAAATTTTTTCACACCTTTAAAAAGCAAAACTCCTGTACTAAAACAATCTCATGTAGTATATTCTATTCCATGCAATAATTGCAATGGTCATTATATAGGTATGACATCACAAAATTTAGAAAATAGATTAAAGGGCCATAAATATACTAAAAATTGTGCAACAGCTCTTAATAAACATGTCAAGGAAAAAAAACATAGTTTTACAAACCAAAATTCTCGTTAAAGAACCAAATTATAACAAAAGATTAATTCAGGAAATGATTCATATAAAAAAAATAACAGTATTAACGATAAAACTGACATTAAAAATTTAAGTCAAATATATCACAATTTAATCAAATAACAATAATTATAATATTTCTATTATTTCCACTTATTATCATCTAAACAAATCACATTTAAAATAGTTTTCTATACTTTTAAAATATAATTTCAAATAAAATTACTAGATGTCCTTTCTGTCTTTAATTTACAAAATTTCGCCACCAGGCGTACTACCTGTTCGAATTTATCATAATAATTATTATACTGCTCATTTCATTTTCATCGTATCCACGTACCACATTGCCGACTAAAAGTATTATCCGGACACATTTACAATATTAAAAAATGCAGGCCTTTTTCAAATTTAAAATGAAAAAAGATAATATTATATT